AAGAACTCTAAATGCAGTCAGAAAACGTCTTTGAGCACAGAGAGTTGGAAAGTGTATTTTTGTGAAACACTTTTTAAAGAGTTCACAGAGATTAAAGAGATCACCAAGATTTTGGACAGTAGTTTGAAATTTTTTAGTTATTTCTGAGAACAAGGCTGGAGGAAAAACAGACTTGGTGGGGATTTGCCAAGCTGGGTTTGAACCTGGCTGCGCTTGCTTGGGTCCTCAAGGAATCCTCCTCCTCTCTGTAAAATCAGGGAATTTAACCACTATCACTTCACCTCAAGAAAAATTCATGCATTAAGAAAATTCCATTGTTTCACCAAACACATTTTCTTGGAAATTCCAGCTAGAAAGGAAGTAGAGAAACAAGGGCAAATATATTGGTCCAAAGGGAGGGTGATGTGTTTTGGGGCACTGGGTGGAGGTGGCCCTGTGATTTGTGCTGTTGCCTGGAATCCACTCTCTGAATGGATGGTCCACTGTCATCTCCCATATATATGTTCCTCATGGGGATTTCCAGACCTGTTGCTGCCACCAGCATCCTTCTTTGAGAGAAGGGTGAATTCTTGTCACCAGGAGGCACAGGACCTCAAGAGAAGCGAAGAAATCAGGTAACTTGCAACTACTATCAGAAACAGGAGGTGACTTAGAGAAATTCCAAGGCAGCAGAGAGGAAGGAAAGTGAGTGGACAGAAACTAGAATGTAGATCTCTTCACTACATAAGCTTTGCTTTCAGAGGAAACATGGCCTGTGAAACCATCCCTGTGAGGAACAACAAACCCTCTGGCATTTAGGCAAGGCCACTTAGATTAAGAATTGAAAATCATATTTCATCAGTTTTCGGTTTTCATGGTAAGGCTCATTTTAAAAATATCACGTTTTATTTCAAACTCATAGTTTCTATGTATCATATGAGGAATTATATTAAATGTAATTATATTTGAGCTTCATTTCCTCCATCATGGTTTTAGTAGCTCTAGTCTTAAGATCCCTGAAACACACAAATCTATGTTTACCAAATGTGAACTTGAGCTTGCAGTCCTGCATCTCAGTCTGACTGCAGGGGTGTGGTAAGAGCTACAAACGCTTCCAAGAAAAATGTGCACCAAGCAGATTAATGTGATAAAAGCAATCTCTGATCCCATTTTCTGTTTGACTATATAAAGAAAATCATATCTAAGTTATAAAAAATAAACCAAGAATAATTTCAGAAAAGTAATATCTTCATATTACTTTAAGGGAAATTTCCTCTTGAACTAAATATCCATAATTGTGCAGTCAGTACATTCAATCCTTTCTGCTGTTTTTCACAAATGGGGTTTGAGGAGATACTTTAAATGAAAAACTACATCATATCTTTCAAATAGGTCCAGAAAGATATTTGAAGTCATATTTCAACTTATTTTTTAAAGCAAGTGAATAAAAGGAGGAGGATCTGGATATACAAGTATTTCATGAGACCATCTACATATCAGAATATATACTACCAAGATTACAAATGTTCAGGAAAAAATGCAAGAAACAAATTTGTGGTATGACACTATTCATTCCATTCATTTTCTAAACTAATAGCCAATATACGTTATTCATGGAATGCTTTAAAATTTTAACTTTTCATTGCTTAATGAAAAATTAGGTAGTTTGGAGTTAAAGCAGTGTAATCCCTATAACATCCTTCACTAGTCCATATGTTTATATAGTTTTATGTTAATTTTTGGCCCCATAGTAAGTGGGCTTTTTGAGCCTTTTGGTCAACTGAAAATTATATATAGTTATATACACCTATGTTTATATATACAAATATGTGTATAGATGAGATATATAAATACATACATACACGTGTATTTTTTTCCTTTTTTAATGGAATTATGAACACTGAAATACGGCTTTCACTCAATAGGGTGGTCTTCTGGGTCAAGCTTCTTATCTTTGTGTTCATGCTGACAGCAGTTCATTCACACCGTATTCCATTCTCCTTTGTTTTATGCAAAGAAGAATGGAATATGGTGTGTCAGAGAGAGGGTAAGTATAATACAACTCAATACATCATTCATCAGCTAGACCTGATACCAACTCTTTGTAAACAAAAAGCCTAATGGCCTTCCTTGTCACACATTTCCTGTTGCCTACGGAGATATTTCTAAAAATGCTTGAATATAGCTCATGTCCTGTCCTGGCCACAATTCAAAAGGCCTGAAGATTAAACTGGAGTGTTATGAGGTTTCTCCAGCAGGAGTGGTCTGCAGGCTCACTCTGATGAAACTCACTCCTTCTAGCAGTGACCGTTGCTTAGCACCTCTGGAAAGAGAGCACACTCAGAGGCGATACAAAGAAAAATGCCACTAAATTGTCTCCTAAATGATAGGATTTATTTCAATGCTCACATACAATTGAATGAGACAAACTATTTACATAAAACACAAGTACAAAAAATATAATACAATTTATACTGTACATAATCAGGATTCCGTTGTTTGATTCCCCCACAAATGGCAGCTAGAGGTGGCAAGTAGGGGATTGCTAGGAAAGGGTGCGTGCCCACTCAGCAGTACTGAGGATAGATCTTCCAAGTGTTTTTTATAAAGATGAATAGGCTTGAGATACAGAAGCCAGCAATGCACCAAGGGCAGAAAGAAAGCACAACATATTCACTTCTGTAATAATAGCTATTTTTTTTTAATTTTAAACATGTTTTGTTTTCCCAAAGCTGAGGCTTGGAGCAGGTGTGAGTTGATTTCCACTGATTGGTTAGGTGACCTCTGAGCACCCCTACTCCAACTTCCACAGTCGATCCAATGCAGCAGATAATGAGCTTCCAGTTGCCACAATTGGTGTCTTAAGTTGATTTCAGAAAACAATGTATCTGTCAGGTGTCATTAAACAACAATCTGAGATATGGACCTAGACAGCTCTCAGGAAGCATTTAAAACCAGTGAACTGATGGACAGGAAAGATAAAAGTCATAACCATCAGAAATTTCTATTGTGTACATCGAACAAGGTTTTAAAGAAAAAGGATTGAAACAAAGTGTGGGGTGCCCATGGTCCCCTCAGGAAGTACCCAGCAATCCGTAAGCGTTCTAGCAGAGAAATCCAAGATCCATTCTGTCATTCAAACAAAGGGGAAATGCAAAGCTATCTCATTGTTTTACAAAGCTAAATTATAATTAAGACATGTTGTCTTTTAAAATTAAATTTAAGATCAGTAACTGCCTGCAAGCTTACCAAGGGCTGAAATTGGCTTTGGAGAAGGTTCACACGCACACAAAAGAAACAATCTCAAATAAGTTTATTTTGTGTCACAAAACAGCCAACACCAAATTAACACAGAATGAGGCATTTAACACTGGACAACATCTTTAAAAATCACATCAAGCAGCATAACAGAAAAGTTTTGCTGTGCACTTTTGAAGAATCCAACATTGAACCAAGTTTGTGCATTTTCTTGTAGATGATGTAGAATCTCAGTGGTGACTCTAGGTGCTTGAGTGAAAGGTTTATACTGTGCTTTGTTTCGAAGCGCAGAAGTTCAGTTTGCTTCTGGCCAACAGTCATAGTAAAAGGGGTAAACAATCAACTTCGGCAGAGATAATACTATTACTTTTCTGAACCCAAATTAAGAGTGACAACTTCTGTGAACTCGTGAGGCAGTTTTGATACTAACTTAAACATAATCAGGCAATGTCGTAGGTGGTTGTCAGTCCACACCCACTGTATTTATACCAGCTGTCATCAGCCTGTGTCTGATTTTCCTATATCTATGGATTAGCCTGAAGAAAACAGAAACAAAAACCTCCCACTTCAATAGGCATCACGTTGGCATTCTTATTACAGAACAAACACTATGATTTTTTTTTGGAAGATGTAAAAATTAAAGTGATGCTAGTTTCTAGAAGGCTGATGCTGAGGTTCCCTCTCTTCTGAGCATGCATTGTAGCTATGCTGGTTCTACATCCCCAGTGAGGGCAAAAATCACATCTGAAGATGATGTGCTTCTTGATCATTTTCTATTCCTGAGTTCAAAGAGGCATAGGAGAATAATTTCCTTTAAAGTAAATCCAATCAATCCTCTGCTTCTAATTGAAACCAATAATATCCACACAAAATGATAAATGATCATCTCAAACAAGGCACTAGCAACTTTTTCTAGGAAATTATCCACACTTACAGAGAGGGGAGAAAATGATGCTCTCATTTTAGCAACATGATAAAATAGTTCTGATTTTTCAGATTCCAGATTTGGCTCCCGGCTTGTATTTATCTAACATGTGAATCATTTTATTACTGCCATTCATCTAACATTTGGACCATTTGGCATTAAATTTCCAAAAAGCTGAGAAAGAACAGGATCACATTTGAACTACTGGACCCAGATATTTCAGAGCAAATAGGAAAGGGTGGAATACATTTTCTTATTTGACTGATGGTTTAAGAAACACAAAAGAGTGATTTTCTACCTCCTTTTTCCTCCTTCCAGGTCTGAAAGTGCCCTTGACCAGTTACTGCCACTGTTCCAATACAGTAAAACATGTTTGATTGAGCAAGAATTGATATTGACTCTGATTGCAGGGTAGTAAGATTGACTGCCTTTCTATGGAAGAAATGATCTAGTATGATCTATCAAAAAGACTGTGGTCTGAGACAGCTTTCACTAGGAAATGTACATTTCGTGCCAGGCTCTGAATTTGGTTTTGATAATGCCCTATGTCACTTGCAATGTGAACTGTATTTTCAAAAGAGGAGCGGTTTCTCTCTCTCATGCTTCTGTAACATGTACCAAATTTCTGATAATGCAACAGATGACCACTGAATGTATCTCTGATCTTTCTGCTAAAGCAATGTCTACAATGCATCTTTAATATAAGTCCATAAGAAGTATGAAATAGTTGTTTTATAAATCATCACCAAAAGCTCAACATGACGTCTTGTTTACCTTTTCTATTGCCAAAAGAGAAAAGCAGCAAGAATTAAAGCAACATGTTTTCCTTTGCTTTATTAGGTTACCAAAGCAGATAACTTGATTGCCTTGGCTCACTATTTGCAGAGTTAAAATAAAATCTTTAAGTCAGTTATAATTAATGATCTCAATAGGGGATAATGCAGAAATAAATTTCACAATGATCCCTTGTCTCCAAATACTTCATCTGTGCATGGCATTCCATTTGTGCATTTCCTAGGTCAAAGTGAGGATTTCTCTATGTTCTCCCATTTCACCCACTGCCCAAAGAAGTAAGGGGCTCAAATGCTGTCTAGTGTTGGATAAGATAAGTATTGGTAATTATAGATAGCCACAGGTAATCAAATATTGGCAATGTTGTGTCAATATGCTTCCCCAAATGCACCAGGAAGAAGAAGTTAGGATGAACAAATGCGATAGGGATGGCCAACACCATCTGTAAGCTCCAGTGTGTACCGTAAGTGGTGAAGACTTTGCACGTGTGTTAAGGTTATTAATGCCTTCATAGAAATTGACTGTTGGAGTTGTAGGGCTTAGGCACAGCACTGCCACATGGAAAATGGTAATGCAGTTTATTTTACCAACTATTGGTACCTGTTGCCTCTGGTTCTGTGTCCCAGAGCCATCTCTTGAGATTGAAATGCTGAGGTCAATGGAGTTATCCCCAGCGCCACACACAAGAAAACCCCATTGAAGTGTAAAGGACACCTGGAGCATAAAGAAAGCTGATGGCCCAGGGACAAAGTTGATGAAGAAGTATCTTGACAGCACTGGGGAAATATTTACTATTTACTCTAAAAGCAAAATGAACACTGTAAAGAAATAAATATTCACTTGTTTCTTTACAAATTCAAAATGCTAACAAGGCTGTTTAGATAAAATGATTAGCTGAGTATAGACTAGATATATGTTTAAGGTAAAATTCCTTTGATATTCAATTATATGCTCATGTATGCTCATGTATCCCCGTTAGATGGCCACTTGGGGACATGGAGACTCCCTGCTGAGACTTTGTTCATTTTTTTTTTTTTTTTGATACAGGGTCTCTCTCTGTCACCCAGGCTGGAGTGCTATGGTATGATCTCAGCTCACTGCAGCCTCAACCTCCAGGGCTCAAGTGATCCTCCCACCTTAGCATCCCAAAAAACTGGGACCACAGGCATGCATCACAGTGGCTGGCTAATTTTTGTATATTTTGTAGAGATGGGGTTTTGCCATGTTGCCTAGACTGGTCTCAAATTCCTGAACTCAGGCGATCTGCCCATTTTGGCCTCCCAAAGTACTGGGACTGTAGGCATGAGCCACTGCTCCTAACCTTTGTCTGTGACTTTGACAGCAGGGCCTACTAATTCCACCAGAGACTCCAGTGTGAACATTCAGTAAAATAGGCTTTGACTCCCACAATTTCCATCCTTCTGCAGATAAATAAGGAAGTAAGGACGCTCTTGGCTAAAACTCTTGCACTCCAGGCAGTTGATCAAGGCAGAGTCCAAGGGTCAGACCCATGGACCTGTGAAGTGGGCCTCACCGTTTCCGGGACCTGTCCATAGCACTTGCTGGGGTGACCAGGTCCTGCCTTTCACGTCACCTACTTATCCAACTGTTTCCTTCATTTGCTTCTTTGTTCTTTGGCTTCACCTGTGAGTTGGTGGGGCCAGACCCCCTGGTTCATCCCAGACCACATGAACCTGAACGAACTCTTCCTATGGACAGAGGTTTCTCCCTGGCAGGGATGGCCTCACATCCTTTCACTGTTTATAAGCTCCTTTCAATTCCTTTAGAACCTCAGACCCAAACACATTTATTAAATGTTCTTTTTTTTCCTCCAATATGAATGCTAATTCTAGTGAGAATCTACTTGAACAGGCTTAGGAGAACATTCCTACAAACATGAAGAAGTTGAGATGCCTCATGTAAGTTACAACGGGCAGCAGCATAGAAACAAAATATGCTCAGAGTGGAATGAAGAGTTGTGGAGGAACGCCATGAGCCTGGAGACTGCAGCTCTTCTCTGCAGTGGAGCCTGACCCAGTGCCCCCTGAGTTCCTTTGAATTCACTGAGTCCACATCATTCAGAGCTGACAAAACCCCCAGTTTCACCAAACCCACATGACCTCGGAGCTATGGGGAAGGACACACGCTGTGCAGTGTGCAGGAATTCTGTCCTTCCCCTTCCTGTAAAATGTCAGTGCACTATAAAATCAATATTAGATGGTGATGAGTCTAGCCTCAAGAAAGGGCCCTGAATAGTACTAGGAATCACTTTCAAAGAATTTAAATATAAGACTAAAGCCAGCTTCCTCATGAAAACCAGCCAATCTTCAACTGTATTCAGAAATAACTTTAGATTTAAATAGTGATTAATGTCATTTTACATCAGGTTCAAACAAGTGTAGCTTAAAACTATTTGTCGTTTTTTGTTCCACTTGTACCAAAAAAAAAAAAAAAAAAAAGGGAAGAAAGGAAGAATTAAAGAAGAAAGGAAAGAAGGAAAGAAGGCAGGAAGGAAGAACCAAAGGAAGGAATGAAGGACAAAAACAAAGATAAAGAGAGAATGAAAAAGGTTATTGAGGAATTTAAAATGTGAACCACAAAATTTCAGCAGGACTCCCAAGCAGCCCAGGCCTAAGGAAGAACTGCTTTAAGAAGGAGGTGCTAAGAGAGGTGGGAGATCGCACTGTCATCGCCCAAGGTGTGAGGGTTCACCCGATAAGGATGAAGTATGGAAACAGTACATGTGAACGGTAGTTACACCGTGATGGACAAACAAAACTTATTCCACAGCTGGTAAAAATGCTAAGAATATACCTGAAATTATCTAAACACTTGCCATTCTGTCAAATAAGAGAGAGAAAGGAAGAAAGTGAAACAATTTTCCTTTGAATAGTGGGAAACAAAGTGGGATTCTTTTGCAATGCTAATTTCAAAGGTTTATATTGTTAAGAACACAAAGAGTCTGTGGTGAGGGATGGTGTTTTCCCAAGTCATTGCAAAAGACTCCTTAAAGACCAGCTTAGATGCCATTTAGAAGCCATTTCCCATAAATTCCAGTGAAACATTCACGAAATAGAATCCTTATTCCCAGGGGAAAGAAGTCTCTTTAAGCTTAAAAAATAATAGAGAGGATTAAGAAATAACTAAAATGTGCTATGTGCTGCAAAGTTAAAATGTTTTTTTCCCTATAAGAAAGTGATGAGTTGAAATATCCGATGAAAATCCAACCTAGGAACAATGAGGGAACCATCTGCCTACATTTCCTCTACTGAGTATGGAATTTGAGCATGTGCACATGGACAGAATACTCTTACATATAAGGAATGCGTGAGAGGCAGCAGGAAGTGCCCATTGGAAAGACCCTGAATGTCATTTATTAGCAATCCAAAAGAACTTACAGAGCCCACCTGTCATTTTAATACTGTGTCATTTCTGTAAATTTGGGTATATGAGAATATTCTGAACCCAATATTCACTATTAAACACAGAATTCTTCTAACACTTTCTGAAATTGTTTCTGTAAATTGGAAACAAGGGTAAGGGTAAAAGCACGTATGCTAATAACATTCTATGTTCCTCATTATCCCTACTATATATTTTTTCACAGATCTGAAGGTTCATTTATCAGTGAGAACACGTTTCCATGCCTACCCAGGACTTTATCACGTGCTCAGAGGCATCAGATGAACATTTTCTACCGTGTTCTTATTTTCAATAATTATTCAATTAATTGCTATATGTTGTGTATCAATTGTTTGCAAGCAACGTGTATACATTTTTTTCTGGGGGCCTCTGTGAATGTTATCATTCACAGTGGTGTTATCACACTCTCAAATGCTTATCTATGATCAGTGATGAGACCACTGGGCTCACAAAAACCCCTACTTCCGGCTATCCTGACTTTCCAAGATGCATCTTGAAATGCTGTTGCCTCCATGCAGGGAGAAGCTAGGGTGGATGGACTGGATGGGTGGGAAGGCAGCACTGAAATAAAAGAAAAGGCACCAGAGCTGAGCATCTCCTGCTCCCCTGGCCGGCAGGCAGCAAGCAATAGCAGAAACCGGGGGTAGCACTTCATATGGACCCGGTGGACTCCAGAAAGCCAGCTTTACATGGGATTAATGCTCTTGATAGGGGTTATTTGCCACACATTGGTTATATCAGGGAGATGAAAAATAAAATATTATCATTAATATCAGTTCTTTCAATATTTTCTATAACATTAAAAAAGTTGCTTTTAGTTATAATTTAGTACTTTCAATACTTTTACTAATTGGTATCATAAATGCACACTTTTTTTTTTTTCTTTTCTTTTTTTGCAGGGAGAGAGGAGGTGTGGAGTCTATCCAAACGCTAAGGAAGTCGTTGGGTATTTTACAGACTGGCTCTTCAGGATGTCACTATGGACCAGACAAGTGGGCTTCCAGGCCAACAGCATGGCAAGGAGCTCCCCAAAATGCCATGAAATCCAAAAGTCAGAATAAGGCGAGTTTTGCAGCAGCCTGCAGAACACGTCCACGCTTCATTGTGCCTGCGCCTCTGCTCCGCTCCCTCTACCAGCAATGGCACAGAAACTGCAACAGGAGCGAGGTGGGGTACCTCACAGTCTACTGTAACCTCTGCAGGTGTGGGCCAGGTGGAATTCCTTGGCTTCCCTAGGCAAGATGAAAACACACAAGTTGGTTCTGAGAATCTAATAGCTTTATCCAGATCTGGAAGATGTGCGATCCGTGGTGAATAATTGTTTGGCCACGTTCTTTTTCTTCATTTTATGAAATATTACGGACCTAAGCACTTCTTGTGGAGGGAGCAGGTGTCTCAGAGAAAGTGCCTATTTTCTTGAAATAAAACATCATGAAGATTTATGCTCCAAAGAAAGAAGACATTCACATTTCTAAACACTCCTTCCCATGTGGGTGGCACATTTATAAAATAAAGCTCAAAAAAAACAAACCAATGGACTTGTCAGAGAAATAGGATGAACAAAATTAAAAACTTCACACCCTGGCTCATTCAACAATGGTCAAGATTTTCATGATACCATATTTCAATTTTTGTTGCTTTTAAAGACATGTATTTTTGGCAGCAATGGGACACTCTGGTGGCTTGAAATGTATCCAAACTTCAACTCTGAAGCCTCAGAAACAGGGGCAGTCATGGGGCACAGGCCTTGAGAACTGGGGATTTACAAGAAGCCAAAAACATAAGCACTATTAGTAATCATCATAATTATTCAGATCTGTAAAGTAGGCGTTAGAGTAGGTCTTCCCAGTGAGATGTGGGTTGAAGTATTTGTTTCTTTCCTCTAGTATCAAGTTGTTTTTGTTAAATGCCTGGAAAATATATGGGAAAAAAAACAAAAAACAAAAAACCAAGTTTAAGAATGCTAAGTAGCATTTCAGAAAGAATATAATGAGGATGACTAATGTTGAATTTGTGCTCTCTGCTAAGGTTCCATTATTTTAAAATATGTTTTTTCGATTATTTGCTTCCCCGGATGATTTGCCTCATGGAGGACTTGCCTAATTACCAGAATAAGGTTGGCAGGTTGTGATATCTTCTGGTTTATTTTTCAACTTTAGTTATGAAGTTTCCAATAGAAGCAGGGGTTTAGAAAAGCTAAATCTAAATCTCTAGAAAACTTAAAACGCTGATGATTTCTGATTAACAGACATTTTGAATGTAACTAAATACATAGAAGTGAATTCATATTCATATAACTGAATAAATACATAAGTAGCTTTCAGATGTCCATGGGTGGGTATATTTATCAGAGACCTTGGCAGAACTTATTTAAGTAAGGGCATCAGGTTTTGAATGTCTTAATTTCTTTTCATCCTTAACTTGTTAGAAGGTGATCATTGCAGCCGTTTTCTATTAATAGTTATTAAAGTCACCTGCAGTTTCAAACAGCCCAAAATGAGCCCGTAGGCGGGATAAATATTGAGAGGACTAAAATGAAGATGAAGAAGGGTGCACAAAGGCCATCTGTCCAGGATTAGTCTGGGCAAAGTATCAGAAAAAAAAGTTCTGGAAGGATTCATTAAAGACTGGGCAGCTGTCCATGCCTTCAAGGCCCTTTGCCTTCATGGCAGAAACATTTCTGATTATCTTAAAAATGGATGTTGAATCTTAAGTGGGAACACAGGACTGGGTAAATTACCTTCTGAAGCCTGTAGTAACAGTGGCCAGAGACCAGCTGGTGTGTTGGAATCATGCTCAGAGGAGCCAATTTCTTGAGATCTAAATGTTTGTTACAAAAGCTCTTGTTCACCAAAAGAGCTTGGGCTCCTCTTCAGGCCTCCTCCTTACTCTAGGAGCTCATTTCTGAGAGGCCAGGAGGGGCATGTTATTCATTCCTGGTGCTTCATTCCTTAAATCTACCATCTGAGTTGGGGGAGATGCCAATGGCTTGTGGATCATCCAAGGGGAAAAGTCAATTGGTGTGTCTCCATCCAGGTGGTAGAGAATAGAGGCCACATGGCTGAGAGGAGATAAGCATGGACATGTGGCTCCTGGGACGTAAGGTATCCCAGCCACATGAAGTCACAAAGGCTAAAGATATTCCATATTCTCACATAGGGAGGAAATTCAATTTCAAAGAAAACCACAGCAGAAAAATGGCATCAAAATACTCCCTACGAGTGTTAAGGGAAACCAGGCACCTAGCAGGAATATCAAAATTTAGTTAGACTTCTTGCAGGAGAATGCCCTTCATTCATGTGGGTAATAAGGGAGGTTGGGTGCAAAGGGCCAAAGCCTTGATGTCTTTCCAGCTACTCCCCTCACTTCTGGTGTATACACACAACAAAGCCTCATGTTCTTTAGAACATTTAAACCTCACAACAGCAATACGAGAGCATGCACTCTTTATTCATTTTAAAGATGAAGAAACTAAGGTTCAAAGAAGTAAGGAACCTATAGTCTGAACCATAATGCAAAGTGCTTCAAGTAAAGACCACATTTATTTTGCTAGCTGCTGTTCAAAGCATTTTAGGTAAATTACCCCATTTAATTCTCATTATCTCATTTATAGAGGAGAAAATAGTGGCTGATTGAATAAGCAGAACTAGCATAGGTTTACCCAGCTGGACATGGTGCTGACCCGTGAGGCAGGTTTGTGAAGTTCCAGGCTGATACCCACCTCCTTCCTCCTCAGAACGTGAAGGGAAATGGTCATTTACGCTAAACTTCTGGGTCAAATCCTGGGTTAATCACTCAATGGGGAAATTAAGAACATACATCACCCAACACCAGGTACCACACTTTTACATCAAGCAGCATTGAAAAGCCTTTACTCTGCTTGAACATGATTTAAAGACAGCTTTTATTATAATAAAGGCAGGGTCCACCTGCCTTCTGTGCACACCTGGCCACCGCCGTCACTGCCGACTCCTTACCTTGATGGCCTCCACAGAGTCGTACTTGTCCAGTTTGTTGATGTGGTTGGTTATGCTGGTGTTGAGAGGGGCAGGCGACACAGGGTGGATGACAGTCGCATCGTGGGATTGCTGCTGGTACCGCTGGCAGTAGGTGTAGACGAGCAGGGTGAGGAGGCAGCCGAGGATGGAGCTACTCAGCCCCACGGCAATCATGTGGAACATGTTGAATTCTAGGGGGACAGGAGCAAAGTGGTGCCACACTTGAAAAGAACAGCCTGCCTAGCTACTCAAAGCGCTAGACGAAAAGAGAAAGTCACAATGAAAAGCCCCATCCCCATTCCGAAGTTTAAGAAATCACCACTCTTCAGTCTTTCCTTGGAAACATCATGGCCATCAAGGAACTTCTCCATAGTGAGCACAGCATAGTTTAAGTTCCTTCTCTTATGGATGATAGCCAGTCTTTTGGAGTGACCTTAAACTTTAATACACTACTGGAAGCTTTTTTTTTTTAATTTGAAGGTTTGCACAACAGTGTTCTTCTGCCCTTTCAGAGATGCTCTGCACATTTATATGCTGTGTTGTGTGTGGGGGGGGGGTGTGTGTAAACACTATCCTGTGTACCACTTTTCTCACTTATGTTTTATTTTGGAGGTCTTGTCAAGAAAATTGTTTACTAAAAAGAAATAAGGAATTTGTGTTACATGAATAAAATACGATCTTTTAAATGGTCATGAAATGACCTTCTTTTACTAATGTCTTCCTATTTCGTGGCATCTTTTCTGTTTCATTGAGTTATTTTCCTGGAGGTATAAATACATAGCATTCAGAAAATTCTCCAGCATGGACTTACAGCTGTAAAATAGGATTGGCTCCAGTGACATCAAGGCACCATAGAAAGACCTGCATGATATCTGAGTAAACAAGAAAGACAGCAGATATTCCTGTGTGTTGGTGAAATACTACTATTCAAGTTTCAAGCCTTTCAGGAAACGAAGGCAGCATGTGGCCAGCACCACAGAGCTGGGCTCCAGAAGAATCACATGAAGCAGAACAGGTGGTTATCTTCCTCTGTGTTGTTGCAAGCAAGTGGCTGCTGCCCATGGGGTACTGGCCTCATGTGCCCCTGCTCAGAGCACATCCTGAGGACACCAGCTTTCCCCCAGGGTGTCCCCTCCATATACCACCAGGGTGAGGGGCAGGGTTGCCAATACCTTTCCCTGAGCTGTCAGTCCTACACCGAGTGTAACAATTGGAGGTATGTGCTGAGTATCACTGCGATGCTGACAAGCCTGCCTGGCTGCAGAGAAAGGCCTTCTGGGCTAGGGTAACAATGAGGAGACCTGCAGGTTTGCCCCTGCACCCAGAGCCTGGGTGCATCTTAACCATCCCAGTCTCCTAAGCTGTGCTCCTTGGCTGCTTCTGAAACTGTGTTCCAGGAACCCAGGACTCTGGAGCTGGATCTGCCCCTTCAGGTGCACGGACACTGTGAAGGAAGGCTGCCTTCTCTCTGGCTCACTGTCGGGCAGAACTCACAACACACTCCTGACCACTGAGGTCCCAGTGGACGATGCAGTTCCTAGCACAGGTGCCCAGTGTACTCAGCACTAAGGGCTGGACCATCCGGGATGACAGCACTAGAACATTCCACAAGCATCACCCACTCCCTGACAACCACCTCAACTTTTCACTACCAGCTTAGTTGGTCAGTGGTTTCAGAATCTTTGGCCTTTCCTGACTCTGTCGTGAAGCCTCTAGGGCTGGAGAACTCCCAGCCTGGAACAGGCGGATAAAGCATCCAGGGGGCATTCCACCTGCAAACACTGGGACTTTTACTGTAACACTGAGGCTGTACTTAGATAAGCAAGAGCCGATTTCACACGAGTTCTTATTTCTCTGTACTTCAGCTGTTAGCGCTCCCCAGGGTCAATGCCTTGTGCTGATGGAAATACTTCCTGCTACACCGATAACTCATCTTTCATTAGAACATGGGGAAGACGCATGACGGTCTCCATATGCAGATACTGTGTCATTAGTCAAATGAACCATTCCAGTGGGTGCCTGGGGAAAGCTGGGGCCAGCTGACAACTTTATGACGATTATGTCATATTACGTCATTATGTCTTTGTGTCTCATGTAACAAACAATAGCTCTCTAAGATGAAAAATTTCAATGGAAGCACATTTTTTCTGCATGGGGAAAATAGTGCCCATTAAATTTCTTCTGAATGTGCTTACTGTGGTTCTTTCCTTTGAATATTATTTTCTGCTGCTGATTTTGGTCAGTAAAGATAGAATAGAGACCAACTATCCTGTTGGTTCAATTAGCTAATTTCCTGTATAAAATTTGGTTGATTTTCCCACAAAATGAAAATAATACAAACAAAGATGCCTATGTTGTCAAAAACATCCTTGCTTGGTAACTTTTTTCAACTATTAGCCCTACAATAGGATTCATCTAAACTGCCTATGCTATTGTGCCAGTGCCAGCTGCCTGATCTTAAAAAAAAAAAATCTGTTCTGAATATCCTAGAGTGGTTCAAGTTCCTGTGATTTAACCAATAGCATCTCAAGGCTTGGTACAGCCACTAGGCAGCTGGTTCAGACACACAGAGGTAGTATTTTAGAGTAGGGATGGGCTTTACACCATGTTCTCCTGGGTGCTCAAGGCCCTTGAAGATCTTCCACAGAGTAACTCAGTGGGGCTCAGCAGGAGGAAAGCAAACTGCACACGTCTGACAGCAGGCACTAATATCTAGCCAGCTCTGCTGAGGCATCCACTGTTTGAGCCTCAAGCTCTGCGTGGTGTCCCTGAGAATGGGAACACTTATAAACTCTGTTCAACTCTTGACCTACACTGTCTCTGATGGCAGCAGACAGTCCTGGACCCTGTCTATTGTCCAAGAGTGTTACCTAACTAGGGAGGCTGTGGCTCCAGCCTCCTGAACACAATGCTTTTGAATACTTATTATCAAGGTTCTCTTTGTAAGGTGCTCTGCGTTCAAAACTCACACTGGAGCCACTGGCTGAATTCCGTGTGTGCACTTGGGCCAGTGACATCACCGCTCTGAGCCTCATAGTCTCCATTTATAAAGTGCAGATTAAATACATAACCACTGTTCCTTTTCCATAATTCCTAACTGTAAATTCTCAGAAAAGTAATGTTTCATCAGTCATCTGGCAGCAAAATGTCACCGACCTGACCCACTTTTCTGTAGAGCTTACCGGAATTGCTAGGAAAACCCTTAGCATCTTCAGTTTTTCAACATCTTACAGCAGCATTATTAAAGAGATTGGCTGTAGAACAACCCCAGACCCTGTGCAGGTGTCATGTAATATAGAGTACAGGCTTCACATACCCTTCTACCATCTAAAAACTGCTGAGTTCCAAAACGCTTCTCTGTCTCCAGAGGCGTCACATAAAGAACTGTGGCCCCTGGCACCTACATGAATGCTTCTCGTGAGGACCAAATGGGCTTTGCACCATATTCTTGTCTAAACCATGTAAAACAGTACATAGCACACAATTACTGATCTAAAAACATTAGCGGGTACTAATTGGTATGACCATTTTTATGTGAACTGGTTACATATTCATCTTGTAGTTGGATAGTTGGATTACATATGAGCAACAGCCAGTTAGTAAACTCACTCCACTGACTTCACTCAGACATCTCACATTGCCCTTCTGAGGCAATGGAGTCTCTGATGATATGATTGCTGGTCAGAGGGGCTGGGGATGCTGGGTGCCCATTGTAAGCTCAATGGCCTTCACAAAACTGACATAGAATGCGTGTTCAGCAAGGATTACTGAATTAATGAGTGAACTAACAGATTGCTGACTGAGTAGACAGAATGTCACAGATAGCTTTTTTTTTTTTTTTTTTTAAATGCAGGGTCTCATTCTGTTGCCCAGGTTTGAGTGCAATGGCATGATCTCGGCTCACTGCAACCTCCGCCTCCCAGGTTCATGAGATTGTCCTGCCTCAGCCTCTCCAGTAGCTGGGACTACAGGTGTGGGCCACTGTGCTGGCTAATTTTTATATCTTTTGGTAGAAACAGTATTTCACCATGCAGGACAGGCTGGTCTGGAACTCCTGACCTCAGGTGATCTGCCTGCCTTGGCTTCCCAAAGTGCTGGGATTACAGGCATGAGCCACCATGCCCAGCCAGTAAGCTCTTAATCAAAGTACTTTGTAATGGTAGTCAGAAATGATAATTAAATTCCTGAAACATGCCTATGAAGCTTCATGTTCCATGAGAACATGTCAGAGGCAATATCTGTTGGGTTGGGCTCTCTCGGACACCCTGTGGAATGGATTAGGGGAGCAAATGGGAATCTATCATCATCAGTCACACTGATGATGAACTATTGGAAGGGAAGGCCTCATTGTAGATACTGGCTTGGATTCTGAAAGGTGGACATGGGCTGTTCCTTGGTCCCTGGACAAGCCAGCCTCTCCCTCCAGGCATGTTCATGGCACAGACAAGTACTTTATGGGTATATGGAAGGCACAGGCTGCAAAATCCAAAGTTATCATGTACTTGAACTAGACAATGTTGTCTTTGACATTCATGGTGGCAGCAGGTTTGAAAAATTCCTCTAGCACAATAGGTAAAACCTGCTGCCTCATTACAATTTAGTCATTTCAGTGGGTTGGAGATTGGAGGCTAGCTTCCATGGATTTGTACTATACATATAAACAAATTATTTGAATTCTACTTTACTCATGAAACTCTACAGTGAATATTGAGACCAATGGTTCATAAAGCTGAGCATCCATCAGAATCAAATGCAGGGCTAATTAAACCACTGACTGCTGGGCCCCTCCCAGGGAGGTCCTGATTCTGTGGATCAAAGTAGGGCCCGAGGATCTGCATTCCCATCAAGTTCCCAGGCCATGCCCAGGATGTGGGTTTAGGCACCCCACTTTGAGAACCACCAATCTGTATGTCAAATATTGACTACCTTATGCCAAGGTAGAATGCCTGGGATCCATAACTTTTATCCAGTTTGTCATTCTTGGCCAAGAGGCAGAAACATTATAGAAAACATGCAGAAAAGGAAATGATTAGAATATATCAGTATACCCGTTAAAATTACTTAAAAGGAAGAACATACCTCCACATCTTTTCTCTTCTACGCTACTGGATCTTGCCACAGATACTTCTGGAAAAACAAAAGTCAAATCACAATGTGTAAAAGGTGTTGGGAAGACAGTCCACATTCACGCTTTATGTACGTTTGTCTAATGATTCTGGATTTTATGTGATGCAAAGTTTCAAAAGCCTGATTATCAGAAAAATTGTACTTGTTTCTTTGTTTTAACCAATCTGATATGGATTTGGCCAAATCACCTTGACTAAGGACAGGTGGGATCCATTTATCACAGAAAGATAATGGATGTCCCTTGGGCTGAAAGCAGGGAATGTGCTCATTTTCCTCCTGCCAGGGAGGAACCCCCCAGCTCTGCCCAACACACCGAGTGCTCCTGTGATATTCCTGCTTCCTAGACTTGTTCCACTAAAGCCAGTGTTGTCACCTTCCCGGCAGAGGGAAGGTCCCTTCACCAGAGCTCAAGGACATCTCTAGAACAAGTGAAGTCCCTCTTCAGGAGGACTTTGACGCTCTTTGCATGCAACACATGAAACCTACAGAAGGTGCAGAAAGAGGCCACATCTCCTATGTGTTCTAACTCCTGAGGATAAAATACCACTTCAGGAGTCTAGGAACATCATTCTTTCCTGTATTCATTTTTTATTAGATAACAAGAATTAAAAATACGTCTATGGTTAACAAGGACAACAATTACAACCACTCTTATGGTTCTGTAAGGTACATGATTGAGGTATGGTATACTACTTTTCTCTAAAATATTATCATTTGCATAAATGAAGGAAAACAAAGAATTGGCTTATAGAATTCAACCCTATTATCTATTTACCAACAACTACACACTGACTTCACCAGGAAAAGCTGGTAGAATGAGGGCCACCCTCTTCTCCAACAGGAGAATAATGATGCATTTCTACTTTCCCGAGTATATTAAAGGTCGCAAAAAGAAAATGGCCGTTTTTCTCTGTGTTCCCGTGCATATACAGGGAGCACTGCCCAAACATTTAAACTAATATTAGAATAACCAAATAACAAAATAAAATTTAATAATAACCAAATAACATTTTCATTTTTTGAGCAGTCTTCTGACTGTATTATAGTCGATAAACTGCAAAAGACACTGTGCCTAAGAAACCTTATACTCATGAACTGAATTCAAGTTTAAATCTGCATTTCTCTATAGACCTACATTTTAAACACCTTGAAATCATGAGGTTTGATAGGATCATCTCTATTTCGCCAAATAAAACACTGATATATGAATCATTTTCTCTCTCCATGTTGGAGATGATTTTGTTCTTGTTGAGAAATACCTCTGCTCTTACCTGGGATAAAGTTAGAGTCAAACACACATGGCTGGCTCTCTGTGGTGTTCCCGGAGCACTGGCTGCCCACGGGGAAGGGGAGGATGCACTGGCGGGAGCGGATTTGGACACCGGAGGCTTCGCACTCAGACCAGTCCGACCACTCCGACCAGCTCTCTGCAGAGACCAGAAGAGGGGAGACCAGTCAGTTCCATCATCCTGGACTCACTGGCAAGTTACATATGTGATTTCTGGATTCCACAGCATGTTTTTAATGGTTCTGTGCATCAGTAAGATGTGGCTGTATTATCTGACAGGTCCAGTACGTAAAATACACACGAGGATGAGTAAAAGTGCCTGAGCTGGTATATACGTGATCAGATATCATGTGCTTAAAATAAACTTCCTAAGACCCACATTATTTTAATGTTATAAAGTAATTGTATTTAGACATTCAATAAGTGAATCCATGAGACCCAGCCGTGTGCAGACCATCAGCAGCAGAGGCATGTAAGTCATTAGTGCAGGCACCATTTTGCTATGGGTGGTGCTCTGTTCAAAAAGCCTCAAATGCTTTCCTGAAACATTCCTGAAAATCCTCCACCTCCCTCCGTGCTCAAGCCAGAGAAATAACTGTGTGCTCATGAAAGTCCCAGGTTGCTGAAAGGGAGTCTGAAGCTAGACAATTACTTACTCCTCTGTTATATAAACAATTCCTCAGAGTCAACTGTCAAAGCCAGCCTGCCCCTGAGGGAGAATTCATTTTATCCCATGTTTGCTGTCTCTTAAGAGACAAGGTCAGTGCACAAGTCTTGGGACAAGGCCAAAAGACGGGCATTGAGAGGATACAGAATACTTCACCCTGAAATGGAAGATTTACTAGGGTTTGTGAAATTCACCCAGGTATACAGACGTGTGAAAAGAAAGGAATAACACTTCTACAAAAGAGGGTTAAAAAAGTAAACTCTTGTTATTGTTCATGAAATTTTAATCAGGATAAAAAGGTATTTTTTCTATGCAGTTTGTTTTTTTCCCCTTTTTTAAATAGAAACACTGACTTTATAGCAGCAGGGAAAATTTAAAAATCAAGCTTGTGCCTTGCTCCAGGTAAAGGGTACAATGTTTCCTTAGACACATGCACACGAATGTTCACTGCAGCACAGTTTACAACAGCAAAGACCTGGAACCAACCCAAATGTCCATCGATGATAGACCGGACAGGGAAAATATGGCACATATACACCATGGAATATTATGCAGCCATCAAAAATGATGAGTTCGTGTCCTTAGTAGGGACATGGATGAACCTGGAAACCATCATTCTCAGCAAATTGACACAAGAACAGAAAATCAAACACCACATGTTCTCACTCATAGGTGGGTGTTGAACAATGAGAACGCATGGACACAGAGAGGGGAACACTACACACGGGGGTCTGCTGGGGGGAAATAGGGGAGGGACAGCGGAGGGTGGGGAGTTGGGGAGAGATGGTATGGGGAGAAGTGCCAGATATAAGTGATGGGGAGGAAGGTAGCAAATCACACTGCCACGTGTGTACCTATGAAACAATCTTGCATGTTCTTCACATGTACCCCAAAACCTAAAATGCAATTAAAAAAAGATTTAAAGTAAAAAAAAAAAAAAAGAAAAGAAAAAGAAATGGATAAAGTGTCAGTTTTTAGAATGACAGTGAGAATCTGGCTTCAAGGCCCTTTTCAACCTACATAGAACCTTCTAGAAAGATGAGCAGAAGGAAGCTAAAAATGTGTGTGTTTCAATGTCAAAGTTAGACCCCAAAAAGAGTAGCTCATTTTCATTCCAGGTGATTCCTGCATGTCAGTAAACCAAGCTATTTTTGGGATGGTGGTGGCGCTAGAGTTCCCAAGTGCCTGCATCAGCCCCAGGGAGCTTGGATCAAGGAGCTCCCACACCCACAGGCCCAAGGATGGCTCCTGTGAGATGTACCTCATGGCAGTGTTCCCTGCTCCCCACCCTGATTTTAAAAACAAAACCTCAGACTCTGTTCCTAGGCAATCGGCTTTAAGAATGCTTTATTATCACCAGTTTCTGATGCTCGCTGTGCTCCTCTGCTTGCTGATTTGATGTCACACTTTTTCTTTCCTCTAATTGGACTATCTCTGAATTACAGCCCATTGACCATGGATGAAGCATCCTCCAGGAGTGCTTAGTGTCCCCTTGTTACATTTTAGGAGTCATTCCTGGAATGCAGGTCTGGAAATTTTTGGCAGACACGTGGCTGCACCCAGGCTGGCTTTGAGACAGAAAGTCCGCAGGCTATTTCCCCACTCAGACCTCCACACCTGGGACGGCACTACAAATGCTCACTTGTTCCCATCTTGCCTTGAACTTTCTCCCTCAACACAACAAGGTGCAGCCTGTGGATCACTAGTGTTAATTAGCAAAGTCAAGAACAAATTGGGATGTTTCCTAATTAGGGACATTGGGTGTTGTACCATGCCACAGATTCAGAACTAGTGTTTGAAGCCTTTAGCACTCTCCCATTGATGGGCTAAAGGCTTTGAACACGAATTCTGAATCTATGGCACAGTGAGAACTATTTTATTATAGATGCTATGTTTTAAAGTCGCTTCAAGGGTAATAGCATGCTGCTGACTTGTCCACCCCTTTCAGTACTTACTGTGATGCAGTATCATCAACAACACCATTTATCCATTAAGGGAAGAGGCCAATTTTGTCCTGAACCTGCGGGGTAGGCAAGGTGCTGCTTACCTGGGCAGGGCTGCGTGTTGCAGAGTGCCTCTTCCGTGTGCAGCCCCAGGCAGATGTCCCCTCCGTAGGCCGGGGCTGGATTGGAGCATGAGCGGGTCCTCATATAGTGCCCACCGCCGCATGTTGCTGAGCATTTTGTCCAGGGGGACCAGCAAGACCACATGCCATCCACTGTGAAGGAACACAAAGCCACAGCACTTCTGTAATCCCAACCCAGCTAAAGGAGTCGCTAAATGGATGCCATTTAGTAATGGAAGCTGAATGGGATCTGTACTCCAGGAGGGCTGCAGAACGCACATCACAACCAGGCTTCTGGCTGCTGGTGGCGCTGCATCTGGAGTTTTCCTCTTGGTGACAGATCCAATTTTACAGATTCCTCCCTACACTTTTTCAGTTTCTTTTATTCATTCTTTCAGAAAATATTTCTAAATCTATAGTATCTAAGTACAAGCATGACAGCGGAGGGTGTGAGGTGTCCTACTAATTCCAGTTCCTGAGAACAACCATGAACCACCCTGTACGGTTATTGATGTAAAGCCCCAGCCAGCTCTCACCTTTGCCATCTGCACCATCTAAACAGTCAGATGAGACTTAAAGCCAAGGATACGTAGTTCAAGTCACAAGTTCCTTTGCTAATTGGATTATGGTTTACTCCCTGACAGTGGAATAGGGAAAAGCTAACAGGTCCGATGAGGAAGGCAACTGAAGAATGCTCCGTAAATTCAGGCATAAAACAACCAAATGAGGTAAAGCCACGCAGACTTGCTGTGTTTAAATGACCACAGAGAGGAATCTGAAAATCTGCAGCCATAAGTCGGGTTAGATATTAAGGGTACAGTTTTACAATATGAACGTGAGGCCGAGCTGGCTCCTTGAATGACCATTCCCATGACAGCTCATAACCCAGCACATGTCTCTGCCTGTTCAAGTTAGTCCCTGAATTCTTTAGGCTGGGCTCTTGATACCTGTAGACTGGCTTGCTGAATGCTGAGGTCTGGTGGCCCGCCTGAATCTGGGACACTTTAGGGCTCAGTCCTTTATTAGCTGACCTTGCTAAAACTAAGACTTCGTGTTGGCTTAGGTTTGTGACAAGGTCAAATAAGATTTGCTGTTTAGCTAACTCCTGACTGTGCCTCTCTCTTACTAGCCAGATCTGCCCTGTTATTGCTGAATCCCAGGGCAAAGCTACAGGACATTGTCAAATAAGGTATTAGAGACTCATCAAGAGTTAAGGACCAGTCATAACCACAGCTAACTCCATTAAAAAGCTGAGGAGAGACTCACCATTGCTATATGTAGAGAGAATCCTATTTTAGCTTTCTCTGTAGCCTGCACAAAGAAACAGGAGCAACCATGACAGAGAAAGCCAAAATCATTCAGGACGTAAGATTGTTTTAGCTAGAATAACTTTGGCTGTATTTTAATATGCCTGCCATGATGGAACACATCATTATGGTGTAATGTTTCTTTTTAGATATTGGCAAAGGTAAAAGGAAAGCATTTTTTAGAAACCACAGCAAAACCATCATCTTTGTGACAATATTCTAATTTGCAAAAAGTAAAAAGGAAACAAAAATATGTGAACCCAATTTAGAAAGGAGGTTGCAATCTAACTGGAGATTCTGTGATTCAATAGTTTACACAACTTTTCAATTTCAAAAGTATTCTTGAAATTTTGAAAATTCAACAGTATTTTCCCTAAAAGTTATACAGTATATCAGATAGCTAGAGGAATCGATCAAGTGTTTGACACTGGCTGCAACATCAGCAATAAAAGAGACAGGCATGTGTTTTCCTAGAACTTTAACATTTTCAAAAACTCTCTCCCATATCTAGTCACACTGAAAGAAGCACTAGCTGTCAGTTTTTCCTGTTTGTAACATAAATGGGAACTTGGCCTCCAGTGAGTACCCTTGCATGCCCCATACACCAAGGCAAAATAAGTCACTGTGACTTATAGTAATAGCAAGTATCTTAGATCTTGGCTATCTAAATGCACACAAGGCAGCCCAGGGCTCAGAAGGGTCTAATGCGTGCCCTCGATTGTGTCAGGGCCTGACGTACAACCAATCATGTGTTCTGAAGATCCCTGGCCTCTGTATGGTACCATAAAACTGTAGATAAATGGCTGACAAGTATATGAAAAGATGGGGGATTGGGGAGGAGAACATTAGGAGAAATACCTAATGTAGATGATGGGGCGATGGACAGAGCAAACCACCACCATGGCATGTGTATACCCATATAACAAACCTGCACGATCTGCACGTGTACCCCAGAACTTAAAGTACAATAAAAAAAACAAATAAAATAAGAAAATAAAAAAAGATGCTCAGCATCATGAATCAACAGGGAAATGCAAATCAAAACCACAATGATAGATCACCTCTCACCTGCCAGAATGACTATGATAAAAAACCAAAGATGAGTGTGGGCGAGGATGTGGCAAAACGGGAGCCCTTGTACACTGTCGGTAGGAATGGACAGTGGTGCAGCTGCCTTGGAAAACAATGTGGAGGGTTGCCAAAAAATTAAAAACAGAGGCCGGGCATGGTGGCTCACGCCTGTAATCCCAGCATTTTGGGAGGCTGAGGCAGGTGGATCACCTGAGGTCAGGAGTCCAAGACCAGCCTGACCAATACAGTGAAATCCCATCTCTACTAAAAATATAAAAATTAGCCCATTGTGGTGGTGCGCTTCTGTCATCCCAGCCCATTTGCAATTGGCCACTCTGAACCCAACTGGGTTAAAGAAAAGTGAATTCACAGTGCAGAGTGTTCTAAATGAGGCAGGAATCGCCCTCTAACTGGCTTCCTGGTGACTGTGCAGCTCAGCATTCACATCTCTAGCAGTTCCAACCCTCCCTGCTGGGTTATGGCCTGTCTTAGGAATTTCCCTGGCAGGGGAAGCACCACTCAGCCCTGACTCACCCACTGCCTAGTGCAAGGTGACATGGGCCACTCTGAATAACTCCACAACACTCTGCAGTATCTTGGCTTTTAAAAAGAAAATGAGGACAGAGTTACTTCAGCATATTAAGGTTATGCATACACACTATTGGCTTGACCACCAAATCAACTAAAATGAGAATAACCAACAGATCATGTTAATAGAGTGTCTCTGAGATAAGTGGTGGCCCTTTGTACTTGTACACCAGGACAGCATCCAAGCATCTGGAGGAATCTGCATGTCCTACCCACGGGAACAAGGATGGAGTCGAAAGGGTGGGTGGGAAAACCTTGATATTCCCATGACGTCTGCCCTTGTCCAGTTTACAGCATGGACCTGAATCTAGTGAGGCTGCCCACAGGATTCCTCTCAGCCCCCAGAGGAGAACTCGCTTCACTGGGGCTGTGGGAAAGAACAGCTCAGTGACCTTTCCCAGACTCTCAGCATCGGCTTGGCTGGGAAAGCTGGGTGGGCAGAGGAGGAGTCTCCTGAGGCTGGAGAAATTCAAGCACAGACACCCTACGAGGAGCCATGCAGCTGAAAGAGCAGACACATTATTGAGAGCCTTAGCTACAAATCTAGAAACTACATTTTCAGTTTTATATATATGTTTATTATCCATCCATTATCCACCCATCCAAGCACCCATCCAATGAATGCTCATTGAGTATCTACTATAAGCCAGTTTCTTGCTGTAAAAACTCAGAAAGTTGTCTGTATCTACTAAAAAGATGTTAACATTCTATGCCTTTAAAAATGTTATACCCAACTTTAGAGTGAGCCTTTCCCCCAGTTTCCCAACTCTGCTTGTCAATTTCACCAACTCTTTTCTGTCCTTCAAGACTCAGCTTAAGGGTAGCCTACCTGCTGTGGCTGCCATAACTTCTTAGTGAAAACCACCAAGGAGCCAGCCCACCGCATCTGGTTGTCATAAACTCAGTAGCCAGTGACCATACTGGGTTGACACTGTTCCCAGGATTCTTCCCTCTAAAATCTAAGTTCCTTCTGGACCTAGATCATAGCACTGCATCTGTGCATACCCTGTAAATAGTTCACAGTGGGTTATTCAAAAATGTTTCCTGAGAAATGACATGAATGAATGAAGAAAGATCAGTTAACCAACTCCTTGTTTTCTCATTATTAATGAACAATCCCTGAGGGGTGTTTCCAGTATGTGCCAGGTCCCTACAGGGAGCTGAGGTTGCTGCCATGAGTGAGACCATGCCAGGAATCCCTGTCCTCATGGAGCTTCGGACAAAAGTCAAGGCAGCCTCCTCAGTCGCAGATCAGCCTTCCCAATGGCCATGATGTGTGGGCTAAAGACTTTCCAAGGAGGGTTCTGGACAGGAGAGTAGGAATTGGGAAGCACTGGTGGAAGCGTTTTAGGTGCTAGGGACCCTGAGCTGTGGCAGGAAGAAGGCAGATACAGGGGCTTAAATATTAAAGGGAAAGATGGAGGAACATTTTGGGCACTGTCAGAGCAAAAGCCCCAGTCTGGGGCTCTTTCGGCTCATTTTCATGACTCTTTGCTTGCTTGGGAATTCAGTGGAATGAAAAGCCAGGTCTTGGCAAGAAGACCCAGACAAACAGCTCTGCTAGGCCCATAGGAGAGAAGAGTTTGTGTCTTTAGAAGATTTAATGAGGTAGACTCTTTGTGACAGAAGACACGGGGACCAAGAACTGGGTTGGCAGACCCAGGGTCCAGGGGGAGCACCTTTGATGCCCATGACCCTGGATGAAGACCTGATGGTAGATGCAGGCCACGTAGGGGAGGGCTGGGAATCCCACCAGTGGCTGGGAAGGGATTAGCTTCCAGAAGGAGCTGATGGTCACTTCAAAGACCCCATGTATTTCCAGACCACATTAGAAAGGCCGGGTTTTCCATCAGTCACAACACCTAGAGTCCAAACCCTTCAAGTAGTTCATAGGAATGTTTTAATTTCTTTTACAATAAGAAAACACACATACACATCAACACAATCTAGCCTAGATGGCATTTCTCTTTCCCCAGTGCATTAGGGAGTGAGGATCCCCTGCAGGTAAACGTGCCCAGGGAGGTCCCACAGTGGCCCTGCTGGTGAGATCTTTTCGCATAGACAACTGAAGACTCATGCTTGCATGAAAAGAAGGCTGAGAGAAGGATCTTAATATTTCTTGGAAAGATTTAGCATTTGGTTATAGGTATGCTGGAAAGAAAGGGTTAGGAATTGAGAACCCTTCTGATATTCTTATTTTTTTCTTTTCTTTTTCTTTCCTTTTTCCACTCTGGGCTAATCTAACAGGTGATGACATCACACAAGACATTTATTTATTTGTTTATTTTTGAGACAAGGTCTCACTCTGTTACCCAGGGTGAAGTGTAGTGGCCTGATCATGACTCACTGCAGTCTTGATCTCCTGGACTCCAGCAATCTCCCACGTCAGCCTCCAGAATAACTGGGACTACAGGCATACACCACCATACTTGGCTATTTTTTTTTTTTTTTGGGAGGGATGAGGTCTGTCTATATTGCCCAGGCTTGAGCTTGTAGGCTCAAGCGATCCTCCCTCTTTGGCCTCACAAAGTGCTGAGATTACCAGCATGAGCAACCACACATACCAGGGAATTTATTAAGAACAGAGGTCTCAAACATGAAGGCAGGGAGCTGCGTGAGGCCTGGTAAATTAGAAGGCTCTCCAAGGCCCTTGGGTTTTCAGATCTTTCATAGGTTACACAATCCACTTACCTGGGCAGGGCAAGATGTTGCATTCCTGGTATTCCAGGGATGGGCCGAGGCAAGGCATCCCCCCATACTTGGGTTCGGGGTTGTTGCAAACACGCTTCCGGTTCCGAATGCCCCTGCTGCAGTCACGGCTGCACTGTGACCATGATGTCCAGGCTGACCAAGCCCCATTGACCGTGTGGGCAGAGTATCTCCCAGCACGCAGGAAATCCCCAGAAAGCCCTGCCAAGGAAACAGGTAAAGTGTGATGTGTTTCAAGTTTCAGAGGAACCACAGTCCATGCTAACTTTCATTCTGTATCAGCTGTCCGCCTTACTGCTAGAACCACCCTTGAATTCATTTGAGCTCTTTTTATACTTCAGCAGCCGGAAATCAGCGGGGTGATAACTTCTTATACCTCAAGCTTCTTTCCTGCAGTTACTAGGAAACAAAGCTGAAATTAAGAACTCCATTTGAGAATACAGTAACGTCTTTACACAGGAAATAATAGGTCCTATATAGGTAGTTCATATACTCTTTGATGAACCTTCTTAAAAAGAAAATATAACTTTCTCACTTCTCTTGGGAATTCTACAACCAACTGCCCTGAGATACCATGGAGACAGCCTGCCCTGGAGGACATCCATCTGCAGGAAGTGGGGCATAATTCAGACATTTTCTCAACCTGCTCTTTCATCTGTTAACTTTTCAAAGGTGAATTCATGCTGGTGAAATGTGCCAAGCCAACTGCTCCTGGATCACAGGCCACAGAAACTCCCATCACCTCCGTGGAACTCGTGCCCTGGAACTGAACACAGTGCTGAATGACTTCATAGAAGCTCAGAGCTTACTACCTAACAAAATGTGTTTCCCTAGGAGCCAAGAGGGGCAGCAGCAGTAGCAGTTAGGGTGCTGGGGTGAGTGGGGAGCTGCTGTAGCAGGAATCACAGCCACAGGCTCTGTAGACATACAGTGAGTCATGTGTACTCTGGGCACTTTAACTTCAGTCATGTAATTAGCCATAGTCAAAATTTATGTTTGTTTTGATGAAAATGTCTACCCACTCACAATACTAAAAAGTATTCAATAATTTTCTCAAATGTAGGCAATGTGACACAAGCTTTAACAAATAACTCTAAAAGTACGCAGTAAAGTTCGGGAGAAGAGTGGTCAAAAGACAAATGTGCCAACAACTCTTGGTGTTGTTAAGCAACTGTGTTGTTTACTTAGAAAATCTATTTTGAAAGGATAGCAGGATACTCTTCAGATAAAGTGAATTAGAAGTGTCTTTTGGTGATAAATCAGTATTCTGTGGTGAGTCAATAAAGAAATTACAAGTGTCTTTTGGTGATAAATCAGTATTCTATGGTGAGTCAATAAAGAACAGCTAAGCACAAAATCAAGCCTCATTTTATGTGGTGAGAGGAAAATGAGACCCATTTTGTGTTTTCAAGATATCAATACCAAAATGTGAGATGGTCATTAGAACTCAAAGCCATAAAGACACAGGAGAATAAAGCTCCATGCGTGCATATGTTTATTGCAGCACTATTTACAATGGCAAAGACTTGAAACTAACCCAAATGCCCATCAACCATAGGCTGAATAAAGAAAATGTGGTGTATATACACCACAAAATACTATGCAGCCATAGAGAAGGATGAGTTCACGTCTTTTGTAGGAACATGGATGAAGCTGGAAACCATCATTCTCAGCAAGCTAACACAGTAACAGAAAACCAAACACTGCATGTTCTCACTCATAAGTGGGAGTGGAACAATGAGAACACATGGACACAGGGAGGGGAACATCACACACCAGGCCTGTTGGGGCGTGGTGGGCTACGGGAGGGATAGCATTAGGAGAAATACTTAACGTAGATGATGGCTTTAATGGGTGCAGCAAACCACCATGGCATGTGTATACCGATGTAACAAACTGCACGTTCTGCACATGTATGCTGGAGCTTAAAATATAGTTTAAAAAATATATTGAAGTCACATACAAAATGAAATATTAATGTTAATTGTATATTTTACATAAATCTTGCCATTTGTATATTTAAGCAATCCAATGTTAAGCTTTTTTGAAGGGGAATGGTAAAAATCACGCTAATTTCTCAAACTTCAAATGTTTAACACTTATTAAAAGTACTTTTAAATTCTGAATTTCATATGTTAAATTCCAAACCTCAAATTAAAATAAAACTTGTTTAAATGGAAAAAAAGACACGCTCTTAATCTAATTTTGAAGAAAATATAGACTCTCTTTTATAAATGTGTATTCACATTTTCCTTGGTTTATATTATGAACAATTAAAACTAATATTAGCTCTGGTTTTATATGTATCTGAAAATGGCAGGAATATACTGGGTAAGTTCAGAAAGGAGACTGAAGTTGATGTACAGGGAAGCACCATCATTCATTTTCTATTTGTTTCTTTGATATCGTAAGAAATACAGTTCACAGCCTGTTTTGAAATGAGAGAGTAAGTGAATAGAGATAGTATTGCCAGATTGAGCAAATAAAATGCAGGAAACTGAGTTAAATACCACGTTCAGAAAACGAATAGCATTTTATGATAAGTATGTTCCAAATATTATACGGGACACATCCATACTTAAATAACTGGGCCAGGTACACTAACATTTATAATCCCAACACTTTGGGAGGCCGAGGCAGCAAATCACTTGAGCCTAAGAGTTCAAGACTATCCTGGGCAACATGGAGAAACTCCATCTCTACAAAAAATACAAAAATTAGCTTGATGTGGTGATGCACATGTATAGTTCCAGCTACTGAGGAGGCTGAGGCAGGAGGATTGATTGAACCCAGGAGGTTGAGCCATGACTGCACCATTGTACTTCAACCTGGGCAACAGAGAGATCCTGTCTCAACAAACAAATAAAACAAAACCAAAAAATTGCATGGGTCTTAGTCATTTAAAAAGTTATGTGGCATATACTTATCCTGAAAAGGATTCATGGGATATACCTATACTAGAATAAACTTCTGAAAGATATCTGAAATTTGTATTTAAATTTTATACTTTATCTCACCATACTAGGTGGAGGTCACAAGACTATCCTTCATAAAACGTGCATCTTTAAGTCCTCAGTTATCTTTCTCTTGGTATTTCATAATATACCTTCTCTTCCAAATATAACAAGAGTTTACAAAATTAAAAAGAGTATTATTTTGTTACTCATTTTTCTAGGTAGGTGGTATTTGTTTAATTTGTATGTTTATTCACATAAAAATGATATAAAAGCAGACTCTTTTTATTTGCTTCAAGAAACAATGAGGTTGTGTAATTGCTGAACGACAGTGAGCAGTGGCGTGAGGAGAGAGTCAATGTCAGTAAGAACAGTAGGATGAGGAAGCAGGCTTGTAAAGCAAGTGGCTCCTGCTCCACGTGCTGGGCCTCCAGGCATCCAGGCTGTTCACCGGCTCCCAGGAGAAATCATGGTGATCTGTGACAGGAGAGCAGCTGGTGGCGGTCACCCAGAGCCATGCTGTCTTACAGCCTTCTTCATAGCAACACCAAGGAGATCTACCAAACTCCATGAATTTATCCCACAATAAATTCTGTCCAATATGGCAGCATGCCAGCTCAGTGGCACTCGTCTAGGCTACCCACTCTGGGAAAAGACCCCTTCTCTATAAATGGTTCCTGTCCTTTCATGTTGGGAGAATAAGGTAGAATCACCAGTGCAAAGATGCTAAGGCATATCTAAGAATGGCTGCAAGGCATAACAATCACTGTTCTCATCAAACTGTGATCCAAAGACCCATCTGTGAGTATCTATTTCCTTTTCTGTTAGTATCTTTTCCTTTGAAAGAGATTTTGCTCAATTAGAGGAGACTGAAAAACAGAGATGAAGAACAAAGCAAAGAATCAAAGCTCTTAGGGACCAAGAGGCTCAACTCCTTTTTCTGGAGTTGAGACAGCTGAGCTCTAGGGAGAGAAGGCGACTTGCCCCAGGTAAGAGGACCACTTGGTGTCAGGCCCAGGCAAAGGCCAGATCTGGTTCCTGTCTCAGGGCGTTCTCCGTGCTCCTACTGTGGCATTCAAGGAATTTACTCAATTGTGAGGAGTAAAGTGATTTCAAAGACTATTCTAGTATCCTCACACACTGTGCTTTTTAAAAACAGAAAATCTTTTTATAGGTACAAAGAGAAATGTACTTCCATTGCCTTTGTGAAGTTTAGGGATTAAATAAAGAAAAAACCTTTCTTCAGCTTACATTTTAGGGCCAGAGATGTATGAAAGATCACTGATACATCCCTAGTACATTTTCTGATACTAAATAAATCTCACACAAATGATTCTGGGTCTATAATAATGTTATTTGGGGACCTGATTTCATAGTATCACCTCAATAACTAACTTTTTACAGTAAGGGTCTTTTCTTTCAGTTTGCCATACTGTCAGTTGCACTCTATGGGGAACACTCTTTTCAAGACTGCTAAGCCATAAATAACCAAAAAGAAAAATGCCCCCTTGCTGTTTATGACCTTAGAGGTAAGATCAAAGGCCCTTCCATGGAAGTGGGTCAGTCCCCGTAAAACCACTACTCACCATCTGTGGAGCAGCCACTGGTGCCGTCGCTAGAACAGTACCGCATTTCGATTCTCTGTCTTCCCACTTCCAGCAAATTTGGATCGGGCAGGCGGGCTTTGCACGTGTATCGGAATCGCTGCTCATAGTGGCCACCATTGTCAGAGATGTTGACGGGCATCCAGGGAGTCCAGGGCGTGGTCTTCTTCAGCTCAGGACATGGGCTGGTGTTGCAAGGCTGGTACTCCTGCGGAGGACACACAGGGGAGCGTTACCACAGGGGTAAACAAAGCAACCTCACAAAAGGCTCCTTTCCTTTAGGGAAAGATAAGGGTCTCTAAAACATCAGCTCCTACGACACTCACAGCTACTCTACAAACCTAAAAACACAGTTATGTTAAATTAGGCATTCAACAGAATGCTCAGTGTTCAAATAATCTCCCAAAGGAATTCGCACAGTCTCTCCAGGTGCCAACAATGGGAATGAGGCAGCAGACTTAATTGTTTGTGGAAAAAAAAAAAAAAAACAGTGATCCCACAAAAATCATCTTCCTTTCACTAAATGAGTAGCTAAAATATTGATTATTCTGATGTTAAGTTTAGCTATTTTCTTTAAAAGATTGAATTGTAGAGCCCATAATATTCAGTTTGAGGTTAATGGATGTTTGAAGACCTGGGATCACACATGCCAAGTGTTGGAGTGGTAGGGGAGCCACGATAAAATGATGCAAGAGACTTTTTTACATATAAGAAGCTTTCCCATCATCTCCCAGCTAACACCTTCAAGGCGCTTCTCAGCTTCTCTTGAGAGCATACTAAAATGTAAGTTCTGTTCCCTCCCTCCTAGGTACCTCCCTTGTAAGCACAGGTAGGAGGATCCTGGGCAGCTGAGCATGCAGTGGCTTTGGAGTCTGGCAGGTGGAGATGATGAAAATCTGCCTAGAGCACTTACTGATTTATTTGACAAGCATTCTACATTCAGTTACTGCAGACACAGAGCCCAATCAATAGGAGGACACAGGGACTGACCCTGGATGCAATGTGACAGCATTTCTCCATTTTACAGCCACAGGTTTCACTGGAGGGAAGACCCATACGCATAACACACCTGGTGATGGCCACAGGTTTAAAGATTTTTAACATTATATTAATAAAATAAGAATTAAATCACTTTTTAAGCTTTATTGTAAAATAAGAAAATTGTTCTATCATTTTTCCACCTCTTTCAGTTGCATATTTTGATACTTATTTCCACAGAGCTAAACTTGAGTTGGGGTCCTTCTGGTAAACCATTTGAATCTACGAATTCCTTTCGTTTTAGAAATAGTCTTGATTACTTCATCTCATTCTTCCCTCCGTTTTCTTGCTGCGTCTCTTATCATTTGGATATAAACTTATCTATCCATTTTTATATTTCTCATCTTTTATCTCATAGTTTCCATGTCTTCATCTTTTGCTTTAGTTTCTGGAAGATTCCTCAATCTTATCTCCCAAAATAATGATTTAAATTTTCATCTTATCTATTACATTGTAAAGTTTCAAAAGGCCTTTCGTATCATTTTTTTTTTTTTTTGGTTCTTGATTATTCCCTGATACTGTATGCTACTTTCTCCAATTTGAGTACATTAAGGATTTGAGTACACTGAGTACATTAATGAATTATTTTAAGGTTGTAGCCTCTCTCTACAGCTTCTCTATCTTCTAAATTGCTGAATTCCCTTTGCTGTTTGGATCTCTACCTTTCTTGTTAGATTGTTTCTTCTGTGGTCTAAACATTCTTTGTTTTCTGCTCTGATTTAGAGTGGAGGGCTAAAAAGTTTAACTGGAAGGTCTGAGCAAAGAGAAGTCTGTAGACCTGGTCAGATCTGGCTGCAATCTTTAGATGAAATATGTTGTCAGAAACTTCAACCTTTCCTGCTGAACTCCTCAGAGACCCCTGAGAAGACTGCTCCAATACCTTGCCTGGATGCTGGAGGCTGAGCCATGGGGGATCTGAGAGCCAAGTGGAGGAAGAGGGTTGAACTCTCAGTGTCCAGTAGACAACCATTATCTTACTCTGCCTTTCTCAGTTCTGAAGCACCCAGTTAAATGAGTCCAGTGCTCAGAGGTCCAGAGACCCTCTGTTTCCCTCTCCAGAAAATAAGCTTCCTGGCATCTGCTAGACAGAGCAGGTCTTGTCTCCTTGGTGGAGCAGGAGAGAGGTATGGAGGTCTGACAACTTCTTAAACAGAAGTCATCCAATGTTATTTTGCCACTAACAGAGAAAACGGGGCTGCTGATTCCTGAGCTCTCTGAGGGGTCTCTGGTGTGCATTGAGATGATTATTTTCATGTATGTGTTGGGGGTCCCCAAGATCACTCCAGTTTCTATGATTAGAGAGCAGGATCCATAGGACTCTGTATACAGCAGTGTTTTCAGCTATAATTTATTATAGTAAAAGAATACAAAGCAAAATCAGCAAAGGGAAAACACACATGGAATAGAAGTCCAGGCAAGGCCAGGCAGAACCAAGAGTCCTCTTTCAGCGGAGTCACAAAGGATGTGCTCAGGCTTCCCCAGCAGCTAGTTGTGATTATGTACAGGGAAGGTAGTCTACTGGGAAGCTCACTGGAGATGGTGCTCAGGGTTTTCACTGGGGTCTGACTGCATAAGCATCTTTGCACTGCATGTACCAAAAGTCCAGATTCCCTAAGGAAGCTTTCAGTATATGTACAGACAGTTTAAGCACAGAAAGCCACTCTTGCCATCTGGGAATGGTAGAAACTTTCCTGAAATCCAGATTCCCAGATGCCAGCCAAGAGCTAGCCTTGCAAGCAGGCCTTTCCAAGAGTCACAGGGCAGGGCAGACATGTCTTCTGCATAGTTCCCCTCTGCTAGACTTGAATTCATGCTTCTTCAATATGTTTCCAGATTCTACTTTTTATAAACAATATGGTTCCTTCTCTTTTTTTTCTGACTTTGTGCATTTATGCCTTTAAAAATCAATCCCTCCAACATTGTATTGATATGCTTCCAGTAGGACAGAAAGCAACTGTGTGTGTCCATGCCACCAAGTTTACCTGGGAACCTAATACAATCTTTATTTTATTCTGTTTTAAATATTCTAACTAGCATTCTCTACTCATAATACATTTCTTTCTTCTTTTTTTTTCAGCAGATAACAGGATTTTTGTGACATCATAGGCTTTTAACATAAACTATGTAAAACGATCATTGCTGTTTCTTTGATTTAATACTTTCCAGGCATTCCTCCCAGACTACGCCATCTCCATGTCAACAAATACTAGAAAGACAGATGACTTCATTTTCTTGTGTTTACAGCATCTTTTATTATGACATCTTTTGAATGCTGCCTCTTAAATGAAAAAGCCCCAATGAATGCCATAAACCCAATCATGTGAAAAGCCAGGCACAACACATGTGTGATCTCTTTCACTTGGAATGAAAACCACATGACATGGACCTTCTGCGCCTATGGTATGGGGATGCTTTCACCCCTGGATTGAGAATGGCAAGAGCCACTGCCCATCCCTCCCTACCTCAGAGCCAGCCTGGCCATGTAAGCATCCCGGAGCTCCTTGGCGAAATGTACTCAAAACATGTGCAGTTTGGCCATGTGCGGTGGCTCATGTCTGTCATCCCCGCACTTTGGGAGACCAAGGCGGGTGGATCACCTGAGGTCAGGAGCTCGAGACCAGCCTGGCCAATCCCATTTCTACTAAAAATATAAAAATTAGCCAGGTGTGATGTCAGGTGCCTGTAGTTCTAACTACTCTAGAGCCTGAGGCATAAGAATCGCTAGAGCCTGGAAGGCGGGGGTTGCAGTGAGCCAACACTGCACCATTGCACTCCAGACTGGGTGACAGAGTGAGACTCCGTCTCAAACAAACAAGCAAACAAACAAACAAATAACACGTGATGTTTATGGGCCTCTGTTTGAAAAGTGCTGGTCTTTAGGTCTTAACAAATGCAGCATTACCTATAAATTAGTAACATCCTACATCTTCATAAACAGATTTATAGGCTACCATCAGTAATTCTCAGGTTCCCCACAATGCAAGCTTCATCCCTTCTATGGAGATGAAGCTTAATTTTTGAAATGTACGAGTGGCCAAATGTGTTTGGAAGTTGGCTCAAGTGTCTGCATTCTCATCTCTGTGTTGGTCCCAGAGGTAGGCGCAGCTCACGGCTAAGGAAGATCAGTTCAGTCTCTAGATCTAAGCTGCCAAAACAGTCTGTTCTTATGTTCTTATTTCCTCATGATTCAAAGTTTAACATGAGACTTCTCCTTTCCAGTGCTTTTTGAAGTTTAATTATGATACATTCACTTGAAGTATCAAATTACGAAATGGTGAGAAATGATGTGGTCAATTTCTTTTATCTTAATAAGCAAAATCATGAAGTGATTTAATTCTGTTGTGATCACTTATATGGCTTAACTGAATAAGTATGCTACAATTTACTAGAGAACTACTACTGTAACTATCCAAATGTAAATGGAACTTTAACAACACTGCACTTAATACTAAAGAGATAAACGATTTTAAAAAGGATTTCAGGAAGCTATCTACTGTGCTGTGGCACATAAGGTTCTTAACATTCTGATGGAAAATGAAATAAGAATGCTTACTAAAGCAATTATAAATAACTTCACCAAATATGTCCCCCATGTATTATGCATTCCAGTCAACTGTGGTAAAAGCATCCATTTAAACGTTTAATCCAGAAACCTGGGAGACACTCTGCCGGTTCTCCCTTACTTCTTCTTTTCCATTTTTACTATACTTTAAGTTCTGGGGTACATGTGCAAAACATGCAGGTTTGTTACATAGGTATATATGTGCCATGGTGTTTTGCTGCACCCATCAACCCATCATCTACCTTAGGCATTTTTCCTAATGCTATCCCTCCCCCGGCCCTCGACCCCCAAGATGCCTCAGAGTGTGATGTTCTCCTCCCTATGTCCAAGTGTTCTCATTGTTCAACTCCCACTTATAAGTGAGTACATGCGGTGTTTGGTTTTCTGTTCCTGTGTTAGTTTGCTGAGAATGATGGTTTCCAGCTTTATTCATGTCCCTGCAAAGGACAGGAACTCATCATTTTTTATGGCTGCATGATATTCCATGGTGTATATGTGCAACATTTTCTTCGGCCAATCTATCAGTGATGGGCATTTGGGTTGGTTCCAAGTCTTTGCTATTGTGAATAGTGATGCAATAAACACACATGTGCATGTGTCCATATAGA